GTTTTGGGTTTAGATATGTCGTACTATAAAGAGGGATGGAAATTTAGGTGGTCTGAGAAAGATAGAGTGCTCAAGCATAAAAGTAAAATCAAATGAGAGACAAAATCACCTCACGAACACTTGAACATAGTTTATGGGCTTTTGATAGTCAGAAGTTTCGACGTGAGCCAGGAGTTTCGACTGTCGAAAGTCCTAACGTTTGGTGCCAGAAGTCCCGACGTTTGTTGACTTAGCCACAGCCCGTCTATGCATCTTTGCCTATCGGGAGTCAAGAGTTCCGGGTGCCGGAAGTTCTGGCTTCCTCCGGAAGTCTCGACACTTCATGACTTAGCCGCCTACGCATCTTCGCCTGTCAGAAGTCCTGTCTCCCTTTGCAAGTCCCGACGCCTTGGGACTTAGTCACCTGGCTCGTCATGTCGATATGCGAGCAAGCCAAGTGGACTGTCTGTGTGAACAATGTTTTTGCATTGAGCCGGAAGTTCCGAAGATCTACGTCAGAACTTCTGACTCAGATCTGAACGGTTGGATTTGCCTTTTAGTATAAATAGCTCTCTCCTCTCTTCTAACTTTGAACTCATTCATTACTCACCAACCTTTATCCAAAATAGTTCCCAAGCATTCAAGGCACCCCTCTCCTCTCCTCTTTGATCCAATCTTCGATTCCCTTAGGGTTTTGAGTGAAAGGAGAGTGGATTGAGTGAGAGAATCACTTTGGCTAGCTTGAGCACTTGATTTCTTCATCAAGCCAGTTGGATTTGCATCTATTACTCTTGGGTTCTTGGAGCCCTAGCCGGCTAGGCGTCACCCAAGAGCTTTCATCTTGTGGAAGAGCCTTGTGAAGTTTGTATTACCCTTGATTTCTTAGTGAAAAGCTCAAGTAACCTTTGTGGTTGCCTTGAGAGAGGCAAGGAGGTGAAAGAGACTCCGACCTTTGTGGTCACCTCAACAACGAGGACGTAGGAGCTCCTTTGTGGGTTGCCGAACCTTGAAATAAATTCTTGTGTCCTGCGTGCTTGTTGTTGTTGTGATTTGTGCTATCATATTTGTTCTTGTTGTTTTATCTTTCTCCCCAACTCTCCTCTTAGGGTTTGGACGATCTACGAAGTGGTGACCTTCTAGCGTCAAAGGAGCAACCCAACACTTCATCTTACCACTCAAAGTTTGTTTTAGCACTTGTAGTGCTATTCTCGTAGGTGTCGGAACTTCCGACTGTTTGCGTCGAAACTTCTGGCCGCCGGAAGTTCTGGCCCAAACTATCAGGACTTCCGACTGCCACTGACATTTGACTTTGAGATTACGTAGAAATTTTTGGATATGCCTATTCACCCCCCCTCTAGGCATTGTTTGAATCCTTTCACCGCGGGAGGTGAAGCACGACGCCGTACGATCGCGGGAGGTGAGGCGAGCCTTGGCTGAAGCCTGGCCCCAGAAAAATGACCTCCACCTGCGTTCTTTCATAGCCAGGCTAGGGGCGTACTGATGGCCTCCCAAAGTTAGGCCACAACCCACCTACAGCCAACCAAATAAGCCTATCTTGGCTCTAGGAAACCAGGCCAGGGGTTGGCTACCTAACCAAACACACCCATAATGACAAAAAGTATATGTATTATGTCGATTGGTTAGAGAAGTCGCTATAGTTTTGTTTGGCTTCCATTGCTCGGGGAGGGTGGGCCTCAGGAAAACGAGGAATCGCCGAGTAGATCACGTCAAGCAAGTAGGTCGTGGATGCCAGCTGTTTCAGGCCTTCTGGGTTTGTTGTTGGGCATTGACCAAGCCATACACCTATGGAATACATATCTATGGTTGGGCCTCTTGGCATTTGGGGCCCGGGATAGCCGCCCTTCTTGCCTTCCCCTCAGGGCTAAGCACCAGCCCTTGTAACTATTAGTTCTATTAGCTAGTTTAGAGTTGCTAGTAGATGCTAATAGTTTATATATATACATTTTTAACTCACTATCCAATCATAGGTGAATTCAAACGGTTCCCTGCTAATGCTAATGGATCCAAACAAATTCTTAGGGTTGCAGAAACCTCGTGTCAATATTAAAAGTCACTTTGGGACATTCTTGATCATAGAATTCGAGTATGCAACTTTAATCCTTTGGAATATAAAAAAACTTACATGGCCACCGGTTGGATGGAATCTGATAGACAACAGAAGAGAAACAAAGAAATCAGTTCAGAATTTTTTCATGGGGGTTGAACTCATATTCTAAATTCTCCAAATGTCATCACGACGAGCCATTTCATTGGATTTTCTTAGAAAGTTAACAAGTCCGTGCTGATGTGTTATTGTTCCAAAAAAAACTTCTTTTCTCTGAGAGGTACTGTTACAAATGAATTTGCATAGAAGCGGACTCAGTATAGCTCAGCTGGATGGGTTTGTTGTGGTGGAATCTGTCCACTCGGATTCAAGTCCTCGACTTGACACGAGTACTCATATTTTTTAAATTTTATTTCATAATTTAACAACACTATTTTCTAGTAATAGCAAGGTCGGTCTAACTTCGAAGGTGCAGGATGTATGTCTACGGTGATTTCATTCGTTAACTCAGTTTTTTGCAAGTGCTCGTTTGGGTAGGGTCAGTTTTTTGGAGTTGTTCATAGGAGTATGTTGTGTTTGGTAACTTGGTGAACTAGGAGAATACCCCGCGTGTTGCTGCGGGGATTCCAAATAATTATTTTAAAAAATAGACTATTTATAATTATAGTTATATGAATGAAACAATCTTAAATTAATTTTGGTGAATGATTTGACACATCGATATGGCACAGCTAAATGCATGTTAGTGGATGAAGTGATAACTATTATAATTATTTGTGCTAGTTGGCTATAATTGTAAGTTCTAGTGAATTGTTAACGTGGATAGTTTATAAGAGTAGGACTTGTGTTTGGTGTCGGAAAAAAGAACTGCACAGTTGGAGGGAAAATTCCCAGAGGCAAGGTCTGGTGAAAAAAACTTGAAAGGAAAATTCCGAGAAGCTGCTGTTCCACAGGCCCATAGGCTAAAGGCTTCGTTCGGCTCGTTGAATTTTGGCTGAAACTAGCTAAAAATACTATTCTGGCTAAATTATTATGAGAGAAAAACTGAAAAAAAAAAAAAAGCCGAACGAACCAAACTCCGGGTAAGCCGAACGGGAACAGGGCCTGATTGGGAGTGTCTACGTGCGCCAGACGTCCTCCCTGTCACGTGCACCAGCAGACCTCCCCACCCCATTACTTGAACGACTGTCTTCAATAGCTAACCTAATTTAAAATAGGTAGCAAGAGTTTTAAAATTAGTCTTTAATAAAATATTTATATAGAAGATTTATTTTAATTGAGTATCCTTTCTATTATAAAAAGAATTCTTTTTTGATCGTGTTGGTCGAGAAAATGTCGAGAAACGTTGAATAGGTGTTGTATTTTTGGGCGTTGATGCTGGAGTGCGAGGGCCGAGCGGCAACGGAAAGGCAAAGAGAGGAGCAGCGATGATATAATAGTAGATTTCAAACTGAAACTGAGCACCAGAGAGGGAAGGGGGGAGAGAGAAATCGGGGAGGAAGGACGTTGGGAGCAGGCGGCTATTGCGGCCGCCGTCTTCCTGATTCGGGGCCCCTCCTCGGATCGCTCCAGATTCGCAGGATTTGGGGATCGTGCGTTTGCAGCGTTTCGCCATCAGATTGGGAGAAAAAAAATCAAGGTAATCTCCGTCGATGTCGTCAGATTATTGCGTGCTAGGGTTCTTCGCTGGTTCTAGACACGCTGATGGGTTCCCAACTGTGATTTCCATGAGTTTTGGGCTGTGTGGCCGCATATTACGTCCTCTCCCAATCGCGTCCCCGCCACAGCGTTTCCTCTACCTCCACGCCGCGGCCCTCCTCCGCGGCTTTTGCGCTCCTTTCTATCTCCATCCGATACGGGGCGATGGGGCCGCCGTTGTTCTTCTCCGCTCTGTCGCGGCGCCCTTCTACTCGTGGCGTAGACGAATCTCAACCCTAGTGAACTGAAGGCAGGTCTGCACCGGTCTGGCATCACCGTCTCGTTGAGCTCTCTGTAGAGGGGATAAGCAGGTGAGGCAAAGCCGCCAAATTTTACATATGACAATCGTACTTTTGTACGCCGCAGGTATGTTGGTGGCCAGGTAGTGGCAAGTTATTGGGGGTAATAGGGCCTTCTGGCCAGAATTTGATGTTATAGCACCATGCAGGTATTTACCTGTAATTCTGGGATGTGTGAAATGTGTTCTGAGTAAAATCAATTGCATTGCTTTATGTTACCAGTACAACATAGTGGTTGATTTGGAAAAACTTGAAAGATAGGTTATGTTGTTTTGAATTGTTTTAAGTAAAATACATAAGGCATTTATAACAATTAGATAGTATATTGCACTTCAAAATTAGGCAAGCTGCTACATGCTTAATATGCTTAATGCTAACTGTTTTTGTCTTGAATTAACCCTCAATCCTATTTGGTTAGGATTAACTTTTCGGAAAAGCATAGTTTTTAAAGAAAGCATTCACCTAGTTCAGTTGCATGTCCCGCTTCTGTTGTTTTTGGCATCTGACTAGCTGTATCCAGTCCAACTGTTGCGATCTTGTCCTACACCCATACTTCTAATCACACCATCCCCTAGTCTACCTGCTTCCAAGTCCCAACCTTCATTTTTTTCTCTGCTTTCACCTGCTATTCTATTCATGACTATATTGCCATGAGCTGCCTCACTATCCCGGTGTCACTACCATGCTATCATCATCAAAGTCCCGTGTCCCCATTGTTAGAGCCATGCCAGTTTTCAAGTTCTCTTGATGTGTAACGCAGTCATGCTTCCCAAATCCCAATCAAGCTTTTGCATGTTCTTATTGCTTATTGGTTTTACTTTCTTGTTTATATAGGTAATGTTCTCATTATAGTGTTAATGCTTGTTTTGTAAAGTGACCATTGGAAAAAATGTTGAATCTTAAGTTTCCATTCACAGGTGAAGGGGCAAGTTTCTGCAACTTAAATAACTAGAGTGAATATGGCTGACATGAATTTTGATGAGATTCTTGAGGTTCCTGACACTCCTGACCAACAGCAGTCAAAATACCATGTTTCCAGCTCTATTGTTGGGAGGGATGATACAATGGCAGCTGCTAATCCATCACCAGTGCGCAAACTTAGAATTAGATTCAAGAACAATTCCCTGCATGGTTCAAGTCAAAATAATGCTTGTAGTGTATTGCCTGCAGCTTCAGATACTGATCATATTTTCAAACAAGCTGAAACAGCACAGATTCTGGAACTGAAAGACTATAATGCAAAAATTTCCCTAAAGAAATCTGTCAGGACAGGGATATCTGTTGACAATGAAAAGAGGGCTGAAAAACATGGCTTGGATCAGAGCAGAAGCATTTCGAACAACATAAGTTGTAGTGTGACTGGAGGAAGGAAACCTACCTTCCAAGCTAAAGATGGAGAGGTTGTTCAGCAAGATGCAGGTCATCAGAATGCAAACTTTCTAGGCATAGGATCAGGTCTTCCTACTATCCCAGTGGGAAAACCAGGAAACAGAACATGCACTAGCACTACTGATAAGCTGAAAGGTGTAACAGGTGCTGATGTTTGTCCAGGATCAAGTTCTGGGGAGATCAAAGGGGAAGTGACAACTAACAAGGTCATTGCAGGACCTACAAGCCCTCTGTGTGTTGTTCCTCGAAGGCATGTTGGCCAAAAAGGCTGGTCCATAATGGATGTATTTCTCCCTCTAACATAGCCAAGAGAAATGTAAAAGTTGATGAAAAACGGGAAATGTGCTCTTCAAGTGAACATTTGCACCATCCACATCCTCAGCTTGATGCATTTGACAGAAGCAATGTGATTGACCTCACTGATAATTCACCAATAATGACAAGGCAGAGATCTAAAGTGAACAATAAATTGATCCCTGGACACAATATGGACACAAGGGCCACAAAAAAACTGAGAACAGACACAACTGGCAGGACTTCGGTTCCACCGTCCAAATATCATGCAAACAGCAGCAATTGTTCTGAAGCTAATTTATCAGGCCGCAACAACAAAGGAAAAGGAATTAGCAGTGATATCTTGGATAGTGATCAAATTGGAGAAGCTAATTTGAGGGGGTATGTTCTATCTGTTCTCATAAAAGCTGTCTTACTTCATCTCTTTTATGACTGGAATAACTAGTTCATTTCATGCTATACTTGTTCATTTGAGTATGGTCTTCTCTTCTAAAAGACTAAAACATGGCAATATGGCTTATGTAAGAAATGGTAGTTGAATGAACTGATATAATTACAGTACAGTTAGCTTGATGGACATGGATTACGTTGAAACCCAACTGATTGCTTTAGAAGGCATTTTTTTTGTCCACTCGACTTTGTTTAGGAAGATACCTTATATTTCATATGAAATGAATACTTTGTTTTTTCTGGTCACTATACTGTTGGAGAAGCAACATGTGGTATGTCTTACTTCTACCTCTGTTGTTGCAGGGTTGATCTTAGTACTGCTGGAACTTATGTAAACAAAAACAGTTCTGATATAAACGTGGAGCAAGGTTGGAGAACAACACACAACCACACAAGTAAATTACCCATTTCATTTATGGGTAACGCAACTAGTAGTTCCAGACGGGAATCTGGATCTTCCATGCGATCTAATCAAAACCATGGATCTGCTGGAGGCAATCATAGCTCAGTTAGTGGAGCAACCATGATGGTTCCTGATAGGTTAGGGAATAAAACAATAATGATTCGTAAAGGATGGAGAAAAGAAACCTCAACTTCTTCTCATACTGGTGAAAGCTCTAGTGCTGTGGACGAACCTAGAGGTTCTCTTCAATCGTCAAAAATATCAGCTGGCAGAAATCATACCAGTCATCAGCATAATATTCCTGTAATAACCATAGATGACATATTCCCTGAAGCTAGACCTAGTTCGAGTGGATTCACTAATGGAACCTCCGTTGATCCTAACATAGAAGCACAATTGGAGTCGGATGAGTTATTGGCTCGCCAACTCCAGGAGCAGCTTTACAATGAATCTCCTCGTTTTGCCCCAACAGAAGAGGTAATTTCTCATCATCTCTCTCTTAAGTACTCCATTCAACATCTTGATGATTAGAAAACAGTCAGATTCTCAGTTTTCCATAAAACAGATTGATGCAATCGTAGCAATGTCACTTCAACATGAAGAAGATACACATTGGACATCTAGGCCTGTAAGGAGGTTCCAAAACAATACTGTGAGAGCACTGAACTCATTTTATGTTTTGCATAGCTACTAACCAGTAGCTCTTATAGCTTTTCTTGCAATACAAGATCTGAATATGAAGTTAATATTTTTTAATATTAAAAACAAGAAATATGCTAACCAAATCTTGCAGAAAGAAAGTATTCTTTATGAAAAAAAAAATCCTTTGCTGTGCTGTCTCTATTGAAATTGACATGTTTACTCCTTTTTTTTATTATAGAGAGATGCCCGGGCTTCTCGTTTGAGTTCTTATCGAAATGCTCTTAGGGCTCGATTGGCGACAGCAAACGATATGATTTCCCGTCTGCAGAGTACTGCTCCAATAACACTGGGATTGGTATTAATTCTCCCTTGCCCTTTTTTGTTTTTACTATGAATAATTGAATATCAATATATTAGCATCTCAGTAAAAGAACTTTTTCTGGGTTTCTTTAGACCAACCAACATGTTATTCAGCTTCAATGCATTCAAATCATATGGCAACATTATACAACTTTTTTAGGCTTCCAGTTGTATTACTAGATTATTTTTTGAAAGGCCGTATTACTACATTATTAATGTACATTGGAATTTGATTGGTTAAATACTGGATCAGTTATATGTTTGTCTATGGACAAGCACTATCATACCCTGGCTTCTGTTTGTACTTTTCTGGTAGATGCTTTGGACTCCTAACTTTACCACAGGGGTGTCCTCAGCTGCTCTCTGTACTCAGTTGTGATGATAGTCTTCATTGAGTTAGCAGTTTTTTTGTTACCTTAGATAGAAGATTATTAACAGCTTCTATTTTGCTACTTTCAGGGAGCTGCTTTAGCAAGATATCCTGGTGCTTTGCACATTCAACCAAACATTGACTTGTAAGTGATCATTCTACTATTCATCTGTTAGAGTTCCACTGGCCTTCAAGTTGCTTGATTGACTTGAGAATTCAAAACAGTCTACATGTTCAATTCATTATATTGCTTGAAATGAAAGCTTTATGTATCTATCATCTATGTCATTCTTCTTGTGCATATATCATCTTTTTCTCAAGGAAAGATATTAAAAAAATGATTTTATCTTCCGCCTATTCATCTGTTTAAAATCTTGTACTGGGTGGTTTATTTTATCTGCATTTAGGCTACTATAGCAATTCTCTCTTGGACACCCCCGCCTCTAAAAAAAGACACTGAAATTTTAAACGTCCTACAAGAGCACTTGTTGGCTTGTTGCAGAAATGACTATGACGCACTGCTTGCACTGGATGAAAATAACCACCAGCACGCTGGTGCTTCAGAAAGCCAGATCAATAATTTGCCGCAGTCAGTAGTTCAGGTACCTTCCAAACTGGTATAAGTTTTTTTGCCTTTCCCCCTTGACTGAAAAATCCTAACTACTTTCCCGTGATTTCCTGTTTCCGACAGTCCAATAGCATTGAAGATCCATGTTCTGTCTGCCTTGAAAATCCTTCCGTGGGAGATACTATCCGCCATTTGCCATGCTTTCACAAGTTCCATAAAGAGGTATCCCTCCTGATTGTTATCTTTCAATCACTTCCGCTGAATTTTGTCGTGTTTCTGATGTCAAACTGTTTGCACGTTGTAGTGTATTGACGAGTGGCTTAAAAGAAAGAAACTGTGCCCAGTCTGCAAGTTTGGGATTAATTGAAGTTTGCCATATGAGTCTACAAGTTGGAGTTCTTCTTGGTAGTGTTAGCGACTGAGGCTGCAATTTCTCATACTGGATGCTTCCCTGCAGAGAATGTTTTGTCCAAGATAAAAATAATTTATTGCTGTGATCAGTGCTTTTGGGCATCATTTTGTATGGGCGCTTTTCTTGCGTTTTTTGTTGTTATGATCCACCAATTGGCATGAAATGTTTAACCAGCATCTTGTCAATCATATATGTCGTTGCATAATATTTCAATGAACCTGGCCTCTATAAATGTGCGAAAGTGAGGCTCGCCCCCATGTCTTGGACCTGGCCTCTATAAATGTGCGAAGGATTTGTATGTTTTGGGGCGATCCACGTTTGATGAATTTACCTTTCATCATCACAAAAACACTTAAGACAGGCAGGCATTATTTTACGATCTTGCACCACGTAAGGAACGTGCTTGCATCATGGATTCGTCCCCACGCTAATTACGTTGTGTGGAGTGATACTTCAATATATGGCAGACAAATTAGTTTACCTACCAGGTTGGCCGGTGTTAATATGGCCCTGTTTGTTTTGTTAAAAAAATAAATCGAAACACTATTTCAACTGATTTGTTCTGAGAGAAAAATACTATTTCAACTAAAAAAATAAGCTAAAAAGAATAGATTATAAGAGAAGCGAACATGACCTGTACCAGATCGTCAGGTTTGCCCGGTTGGGAACGTTAAGCATTTGTCACGCACGCAGCAGTCATAAAATACAAGTAAACATGAAGACAGACGCGGATAGCACGCGTGGTCTAGTTGTAGAATAGTACCTACCAGGGTACAGACCCGGGTTCGATTCCCGGTTTATTTTAAATAAAAATAGTTTTTTTTCCTTCCAAAAGCAAACAATGTATTACGCTCGAAAATAGTTTTTTTTTCAAAACTCGATCCGTGGTGAGTACACAGCCCCCAAACATTTTGGTTTAAGAAAAAGATCTTTTCACGCAGATTGAAAAAACCTTCGAATCTCTGCTCCACCCATACACAGCGGTATCGTAGCTTCGTGAGATGAGCTGACCACAGACCAGACGAGAGAGATTTTTTTTCTCTTGGTCACTGTGGCCGAAGCCACAAATAAAAAGTGAATCCCTCGAGACTCGAACTATGACCACCTTAAGAGGAAGGTACTGAGCCATTTGATGAGAGAGAGGGGGAGTTTGCTTTGAGCCCATGTCAACGCCAGCCAGCGCGGCGCAGAAGAGAAAATAGTTTTTTTTGTTTTCCATTCCTAAAGCAAACAATGTATTGCGCTGAAATACTTGAGAAGTATAGCGAACACACGCCATTGATGATACAGTTCCCGTAGGATGTACTTCGAAATGCCAAACATTTACTGCTCAGTTCTGGATATGTGTGGATTAGCCTCGCAACTTTTGCGGCTCCAATTTTCTGATGCTGCTCACAGCTCCCGTATCCTAATTTGGGCTGGTCGGCTCCCGTATCCTAATTTGGGCAGCCGATCCGGAAAGTTGTTGCGTGCTGATCTGGGATCCCCGCACCACTCAACACCCGCGGCAGCGCTGCGAAGACCACGCGGGTGTGCTCTTCCCAGCAGGCAGCAGCAGTCCAGTTCCTGCCCGACCCGCACCGCACGGGCAGATATCCGGGCGGGTCAAAAGGATCGCGCGCAGGCGCAGTTCAGCAGCAGCGAACAACACCCAAGCGATGAACGGGCGGTAGCACGGCACAACTGCCAGAATACGGGACCCGCTCGGCGGATCGCACGCGTCCATCGTCTCGGACGGCCGGGATCGCATCATCACGGTGCACCCCGCGGAGGAGAGCACGAGACGGCCAAGCCAAGCCAAGCCAAGCGCGCCCGCCCGCCCCGGGCCGCACTGAACACCGCGCGTGCGAGGAGGCGTCGCGCCGCGCGGCTTCCGCAATAAATCGAACATCCACGGCGACACCGCCACTTGCCTCTTCGTCCTCGTCTTGTCTTCGTTCTCTCGGCTCGGGGGAGGGAGTCTCGGCTCTCTGGTCTCTGCTGTGCGGCGCTGGCGGAGAAGGGGTTTTGATCGCTTCCTTCGTCTCTCTCTCTCTCGGTGAGGCCTCTGGCTTGCGCCGCTGCACGCATTCTGTTCTCGTTCGCATCCTCCGCCTCAGTCCTCGGTGCGGAGAGGTTGGGGATTTTGCGGGTTTCCTTTTACTCGTTCTTTCCTCATCAAAACCGTGGAGGGGTTTCACGGGAAGTACGGGTATGGGAGGTTGTTCTGGGGTCAGTGTGCGTCGGTTCCTTCTGCAGATCCTACCTTTCCATAAGAATCGGTCCGTCGTTTCGATCGAAGAAGATCGTATCGTTATACGAGATTTCGTCTGTTTTTTTTTCCTTTCTTACCCGTCTGCATGAACCCTGAATCCTATTGCCTGAGATTTCGTTTATACCTTTCGCCAGGGTTGGGTAAGTTCACGCGACTCTGAAGTCTGAACTATTTCAGGGATTATGGTTTATGGCTACAAGATGCTAGTTCTCTGCAATGCAGGATGCTGCTTTTGCCATCCAAAAGATAGGATTAGTCCTGTTCGCTTGGCTTATAAGTCGTACTTTTTCAGCTATCTAACAGTATTTTTCTCTCACGACAGTACTTTCAGCCATGACTTATCAGCCAAGTAAACAGGGCAAATTGGCTACATGTAACATGCCTACAAAATACATTTGTCTTTTTATGTAAAAGCATCTTTATAAGATTCCCCTTTTTTCATCTCGATAGAGATTTTCAGCCACTGTTTCCAGATTCTGTTTCGGCCTATTCTGATTGATCGTGATGCTCAGAATTTCGCATGTTATTATGTCCATAAAAAAAATCCTGATGTTTGATTTACTGAACCGTCGTAATCTGCACTTCCAGCACAATTTACTAGAGCCTGTGTTGTTCGTGTCAACTCTAGTGAATTCCTTTTTCACCGATACAGTGAAGTGCGTGCCCGAGCACCTACACACCAAGTTGGATATCAATGGAGGGCGGTGTGACCGTAGCAGATAAGGCAGAATTCAAGGAGTGCCTGCGGCTGTCCTGGACACAGCCTTACATCCTTCAGCTTGTGCTGTCTGCTGGCATCGGTGGTCTTCTTTTCGGATATGATACAGGTATCTGAACATGACAAGTTGTAACATCGATGCTGGACATTTTTTCAAGACATTTATTTATTTGGTGGTAACTGGTAACCAAAGCTGATATATAGATGTTTCAATCCACTCCTGTGATTTATTTTCTCACAATTCAGATTTTAGTACTGTATTGAAATACAATAAACCTGACAAACAACATGCATAGATACTGAAGGACAAAATGTTCTAGTTTCAAGTTTTCAACTATGAATAACCAATTGCTCGATATCTCTTTCTTGACATTAGTGAAGAAATCAAGAGGAACTGCTTTTAACTTTTATCCAACACCTTGAAATTCTGAAGAAGAAGGGTGGGCCTGGTGCAAGCGGTAGAGTCTTACCGCCTGTGACCGGAAGGTCCCGGGTTCGAGTCGCGGTCTCCTCGCATTGCACATGCGAGGGTAAGGCTTGCCACTGACACTCTTCCCCAGACCCCGCACAGAGCGGGAGCTCTCTGCACTGGGTACGCCCTTGAAATTCTGAAGAAAAAAGTCCAGAAAATTTTCCTCTTTATTTGCAAGTTGCAACTGTCATGAACTCATGATGATATTAATCCTGTGGTACACCTTGCATGCTGTGCTTGTTCTTATAAAACGTTTTGACATCCTTACTTCCCATCTTCCATGTCCATCTCATTTACATACTACTCCAGGAGTGGAGTTTAGCTGTTTGATTTATTACCCTGTTGACATTTTATTTGCCAGGTGTCATTTCTGGAGCCCTTCTCTACATTAGAGATGATTTTGCTGCAGTGGAAAAGAGCACTGTATTAAGGGTATGTCCGTCAATATTTTCCTTCTCATGCACTGTGGTTCAAGTTTAACTTCAGCTCATCTGACCTTTTCTTCAGACAATAACATTCCAGCTACGCTAATATGTGATGTCACGGACTCACGGTTTATTCCAAATAACAGGAGACAATAGTCAGTATGGCTGTTGCTGGAGCTATAGTTGGAGCTGCATTTGGTGGCTGGATGAATGACAAGTTTGGAAGGAGGCCTTCCATCATAATTGCTGATGCCTTGTTCTTTGCAGGCGCCGTAATCATGGCCTTTTCCCCAACACCTAATATTATTATTGTTGGGAGGGTATTTGTCGGTCTTGGTGTTGGAATGGCTTCCATGACAGCTCCTCTGTACATCTCTGAAGCCTCCCCTGCTAGGATCAGAGGTGCTCTAGTGAGCACCAATGGACTTCTCATCACTGGTGGCCAGTTCTTGGCATACCTCATTAATCTAGCCTTCACTAAGGTACTCACTCAACTAGACCTTGTCATCTTCTACAAGTTTGGGAAACTTTGTTTTAAAAAAAAAAAAAACTGGGAAAACATTGTTTTGCAAGTAATAATTGATGTTACCTCCAATACCTGTGTCAGGTGCCGGGGACCTGGCGGTGGATGCTTGGCATTGCAGGGGTTCCTGCCCTGGTCCAGTTTGTACTGATGCTGATGCTTCCAGAATCACCAAGATGGCTCTACAGGAAGGTTGATAGTAGTATTTTTGTACAAAAAGTAGTTCGTATGCAAGAATTACTTAGGATTCAAACACCACACTTTTGTCTGTACGTTACAGATAGTTACATAATGTAGTAAATCTTTATCGCATGCCAACACGAGGAAAGGGAAGGAACATACTGACAATTTGTACTTTCTTGGTGAAACAAACAGGGCAGGAAAGAGGAAGCTGCAGCGATCTTGCAGAAGATTTACCCTGCGAATGAGGTCGAGCAAGAGATTGACGCAATGCGCCGGTCTGTGGAAGAAGAGGTACTCCTTGAGGGCTCCATCGGCGAGCATGGCCTCATTGGCAAGCTGAGGAAGGCGCTGGGCAGCAAGGTCGTTCGCCGCGGGCTATT